TTAGTTAGGTAGAGTCCAATTAGTTGAGAATGGTCACCAACTAAATGGAGCCACAATTAAGAAATGTAAACCATATTTATATATTATAAATACAAAAATTAAGCCGATCACAATTTCAGTTTAACTTAAATAATTCTTGTTTTGCCATTATTTAAGTTTGGTAATTAGGTGTCTCCCACTATATTGTCTAGCTTACGTTGTTACCTTTTTATGGACTTGGATGGTAGTGCCTTAGCGGTTGAGATAGTGCACAATAGCACAATTCAAGTTTTACAAAGAACAAATAAAAGTTCTTCTAAGCTTGTGTTTATATGTAATGTTTGTCCCACATTATCGGGTTACGTCGGATTCTATTGTCGAGCCAATCAAGAATTATACAAAAAGTCGATTGCGCCTTTATTGATTTTCATATCTTTCTTAACTAAGGAAGACGAGAGTGAGAAGAAGTTCTTTTAGACACAAAAGAGGAGAAAGGATTTATATGAAAAGTTACAATGTTGCATTGCAAATCCCAATCATTGATAAATTTGAAACTTAGAATTGAAGTTTTAGATTGAAAAAAGAAAAAAAAAAAAAAAAAGCAAAAGTTCTAGCATGTTTGGGAAGTGCTTATAAACGGTTATAAACTGATAGAAATGAGTAATGAAAAGTGAATACTACTTATGAATTCCTCGAAATGTAGGAATAAAAGAGTGAACAAAAGAATTATTTCGTGCAAAATGTGATGACCTTACATGTGAACCAATAGAAAAATAAAGAATGGTGTCGGCCTCAATTTTAGCACGAGACACCTCGTCAAAATATTTGAATCATGCTTCCAAAGAGAATCAGACTTTATCGCGCATCAATAGAAATTATATAATGATATTATCGAATCAGACTAAAACCAATCGATTATGATTTGAGTCGAGTCTGAATCAAGTTGAAATAATTTCGAATAAATATGTCTCCCCTAAAAGCGCTTTGTCATTAACCTCTAATTCTCCCCATGTATCCTAAAATTAGTGGTGATGTATTTGTTTCTCTTTACATGCTGTAGTGTTAACTTGGTACATGAAAATAGAAAAGATAAAGCATGATAATATGTTTTTTATTATTATTTATTTTCTTCTTTTTTTCCTAAACGCGTCTTCTATGCATAATGTTAGTAAGAGAAAAGTGTTTCTAAAGTTGAACATGAGCACAAAAGAACAACAATAAAGTTGTACACTAATAAAGAACAATCGAGAGAAAAGCAAAAAAACTAAAAGGTTGTCAAAATATTTCCTTCAATTATAGACAAGATTTGAGATTTTTAGAAGATTTTTGACAATAAAATATTACAAAATATCCTTATTTACGTCGTGAAATATGAAAATTATAAAAACATACACGATATGTGATCATACTGCATAATTTACCTTACAAAACAAATTATTATTATTAAATATCTCGACTAGTATTATTCAATGTTCTAAAATGCGTAATGCGTTGTGATGCGTCGAGGTCGAGAATCAAAAATCACAAGTTTAGGCGTGTCAATGCGAAGAATAAGCGTCATAATGCGTTTCGTATTTTTAAGGCATTAAATATATTTATATATAAAAAAATAGATTTTTTACCAAAAAAAAAAAAAAAATTAGGCGGGATTAGGCGCGCCTAGGCGCGAGCGCCGCCTTTTAGAACAAAAACGCATTTTTCCGCGCATACCCCGAATTAGACTCGTTTTCAAAAACCCATTTGCGCGCATTTTAGAACATGGGTATTATTATAGCTTTCTCCGTACACAAATTAAATCTTATACATATACATTAATAAATATCTCGACTAGTATACTCAATTCTCCTAACTTTATTACATGGTTTATGGTCAATAGAATGTTTTCAAAAACTTGATATTTTGATTTTTTAAAAAAAAAATTGTTGTATATATATATATACACACACACACTATACAACTTGTGTCTATGTTAGTTCATAATTCAATAGTTCAAGACTAATTAACATTAAATTATACGAATGATTTATTATTGCACAAAAGTTATATTATTCTATTAGATAAATGTTCCGATATTTATTATAAATTCATAAAATAATTAAATTCGAAAGTGACACGTAAACATATTAAATACATTTTAACCCAACTTTCAAATTATTAAAATCATATATATTCGAGATTAACAAGTATTTAGACTTTATCTCAAATTTAGTATTGATTAAACTATTCATTGTCATATTTGTTGAAACATCTAAATATTAATTTTTTATAAGTCCGAATCTTAAATTATTTAACCAACAAGCTGTTTGTATTACACTTATAAATTACACGGTATACGCGTAACGAATGGAGTCTCACATTGACCGACGTTATATGGACTATTTAATTGATTAGACCTATTTAATTAAGGGAAAAATTCATCTCTCTTACTTTATCTTTACCCTATTTCAAAAATAACAAAACAATTTTTACATTTCAAANTATTTCAAAAATAACAAAACAATTTTCACATTTCAAAAATCAGATATTTTAACATATGCATACACATATATATAAATATTTATTTATATATATAAATATATAAAAAGATATAATTAACCCACCCCCACCTCCACCATTCCCACCCCATCGCTCAAGAGACCACTCCGACGATCGCTCCGGAGCCGATTCCGGCGACTACTCCGATTCCGATGACCGTTTCGGCGTCTGCTCCGATTCCGACGACTCAGGTCACAAGTCACAGCCCATGTCACAAGTCACAATCCAGGTCACAACTCAAGTCACAGTCCAAGTCACAAATCATAATTTTGTTCATAGTCACGAGTTATTTTCAAATGATCACAGCACAGGTCAAAAATTTTATAGGTCACAATTTGTTTATCGGTCACATATCAAAAATTTTGCAGATCACAAATTATTTCGAGGTCACAAATCAATAATTTTATAGGTCACAGATTATTTTATTGGTCACGGATCAAAAAATTACAGGTCACATATTAATTTTAGTCACAAATTGTATAATTTTAAGGTCACGGATAGTCCATTATGCGGTCACAACTAGTCTAATCTATGATCACTGTCAACAGTTGTGCCACCAGTTCAACGCTGTCTCTAACAGCATCACCACCGTCCACCGCCACCACTACACCAACAGCACAAATGCAACCACCAGATCCACCACAATCACCCACCTCCACCACCAACAGCACACACGCAACAGCACCCACCAATAGCACCCACGCAACAGCGACCACCAACAGCACCCACGCAACCAACAGCACCCCACCATCATCACCGAACTGCACCTACCACTGGTTGACGATGACAGAGCAACGAACCTTCGCAACCATAAATCGACGCAAGCCACTACGATACATCCAACAATTGGGAAAAAAAACCACTGCGCGGGTACCAACACCAGTCAGCCACCACAACCACGGCGCGGCCTCCCCTCCCACACAGATCACGCCCACCTCCACCCAAAGTACACAGATCGGTGGCCACTACAATCCATCCAGCCATTAGCAGCAGCATCGCGAATTAGGGCATCTTATCGCGCGACGCTATTGCAATTGAATTAGGGCAACGCTGTGCTACGCTGCTGCAATCGAATTAGGGTAGTGTCTCGTGACGCTGCTGCTAGACACCGACAGCAGCATCGCTCGACGCTGCTGGTAGACGCCAGCAGCAGGGTCGCGACGCTACTGCAAATTAGGGCAGCATCGCGCGACGTAAATTGGGTGGAGACAGGAGG